CCACTCAAGGGAAATTTGGAGCTCCAGGCAGAAGGTTTTTAAATGTTACTCACCCATCTGACAAAACGGAGATTATAATCCCGACTCCTCGGTCGCTGGGATGGTAGAGCCAGGTGCCTTCCGTCGAGTCCTCAGCACACAGCAGTGCTGTCCTCACTGGGATCGCTGGTTACTCGAAGGCTGTCAGAGCTGAGATTACTGAACAGGATCGTCGCAGGTTAGACCTGCTCCACGCTCTGCTTCCAGACACGAGGGGAGGGAGCCTGAGACGCCATGTGGCTTGTAGGGGGTCCCCTAGCTGGTCACTGTCAGCACGAGACGCAGCCCAGCCCCATCTTCCTGCCACTGCCCTGCAGACGAACATTGAACAAGCTGGATCTGTAACACACCAGGGCTCTGAACCTTGAAAAAAGTGGTTCCCCGTTCTCCCCGCAGAGACAAGGAGTGAGTCTGAGTGGTGAAGCCCCCCCTCGACCGCGAAGCCCCCCTCGAGCAGAGGGTCTGCCTGGTCACCCTCGGCTCCCCCAGCGGGTCCAAGTGGGGTCAGATGGCGGCAGCGCTGGGGGCGGGCAGAGTTATCTTGAAGGCCCGGTCTTGGTTCAAGTGAGAGCGGTGTGTGGAGCCTGCGGGATTTCAGAAACCCGGTCTAGTCCGGGCCTGTGAGCCCAGCCCTTGCTCGGGGTCCCTGGGCCCCTCTTCACACCCGCTCCCGCCCCGTTCCTCCCCACGTTGCTGGGGAACATCTCCCAAGGCTCCCCCGGCCCCGGGCGCCCTCTGCCCGGCGTCAGCAGCTCCCCTTCCCGGCCTGTCCAGAGGGCTGGCCACGCGGTGAGAAGGCCCAGAGCCAGGCTGCCGTCGGCTGAGCACGCGTGGTGCTCGCCGTGTCTCAACAAGTCCGGACAACATTGTGGTCGTTACCCTGGAGCACAGCCGTACACCTACTCACCCGGCGGCCAGCCTTCCAGGAGCATTCGGAAACCTCTCAGTGCTCATGGAAGGCCCGTCTCGGGGTGGTGTCAGCGGTCAGCAGCTCGACGGCAGGCCCCGGGCTCAGTGCCTTCTGTGGATGTGCTCCTTTGCTGCCCGTGACACCCCCGCGAGCTGGGGCCATGCGGGTGTCACCCGCACAGAGAAGAGTGAAGGTTACGTGCGGGAACTACCCCAGTTCTCACCGGTGCGGCCTGGAGGATCCGAGGTTCAACCCACGCAATGTGGACCCACGGCCTCTGTCCCCATCCCCCAGGCTCCACCGTCCCCAAGCCCATCGGCCTGGTTAATCCCGTGTCCTCAGATGACAGCCAAGACCTGGGAGGAGACGGGCAGGAACCGCAGTAAGGACAGGGGGACCAGCCCAGGGGTCCCAGAGGAAGCTGGGGAGCCCCAGCCCCGAAGGCTGCGGACAGGTCCTGAGCTGGGGGCCAGTGGCCCTGCAGACATAACAGCCCTCGAGGGAGAACAGAGCTCCCCCAGCAGCACTGCAGTCTTGGAGCATTTGGAGCTGGGGGCCGACACCCTGCATCTACCAGTTAAGGGTATTCTCATTGTTTCAGAGCCCAGCACGGGAACTGTCCTCATGAACTACACCCTGCTGTCACCGAGGAAGGGCTCAGGTGTGCTTGGGGTCGTCTGCTCAGGAAAGCAGGGAGAGCGACACTCTGTAAAGCCTCCATTTTAAAGGCGGAATTCAGAGATTTTGGTCATCAGAGGGACGGCCGTCCTTTGTCTGGAAACCCATTCCTGC